AAATTCTTGAAATTGATTGCGTGGTGATAGGTGAGTTGGTTTCAATGTATTGAATTTGTTGCAATCGGGGTTCGAAAATCGAGCAAGTCTCGGTTCCCAATAGCACATGCTCGACTGTCCATAAATCTTTTGAGAAGGGCCTTACTTCTACTCAACCAAATTCAAGAACTATGGCAGAGGAATGGTTCACAATTCTTCATTGTTTGGGCTGCATGTAGTGTTGTATACTTAACATGATGATGTTTTTTTGGCTAAATAAATGGACATTTTTCTAGATAGCATAAATATGGTAGGGCTAGCCAGGCCCGGGCCATGTGCTTTCCAGACCAAGCCAAATTATATCACAGAAAAAACTAAAGAAAAAGTCATAAAAAAGGGTCAAGCCAGACCAAACCGGGCTGGCCCGAGCCCTAGCCCTAGCTAGGCCTATCTGGCCCTCAAGCCACATTTTGTAGCCCAGGCCCTTAATTTTTAAGGCCGTGCTGATCTGGCCAAACAGGCCACCTGATGCATTGCCACCTATTGGACAAAAGAGTAAATATTTTCTTTTATGGGTACTAAATTTCATGCTCATCCACCTTAAAATCCACTTTTGAGATGAGTGAGAAAACCAAAAGAATTTCATATTTCTTTATGTTTTTAACATAAAAAATGCCCCTAATTTTCATCTTCAAAAAAAATATAAAAATTCATTTAGGCCTTGGAAAATGCTCAATGCTTGTTACTATCAAATAAAATTTGGGTCGTCCATTTAAATGGGCAACATATCTAAGCACTTTTAAAGCTTTTTTGAGTCACTATAATGACCGCATCCTCACAAAAATATAATAAACCAACATGACGCTCAAAAAGATGCTCTAAATTTGTTGTTTCCCAAAGTTACACCATACCATCTATTTGATTCACAATGGATCTAAATTTATTTTTAAAAGCACTATTTAAAGGTGATTTGAATCTATTTGGATTCCCTTTCCTACCTCAAAATTGGTTTTTGGGAGGTGATTTGATTCTTGTTTTTGGGTCTTTAGTACCCCAAAATGTTTTTTGGGGTGGGGAAAGTATTAGGTTGAATTATGCAAGTAATCCTCAAAACAAATTAAATGACGAGATGAAAGATGAAATCCATTTTTAGGGCTGGCAATGCCCTAAAAAATACGGCCATGTGGCCTGATGTCCGAGCCATGTCTAACCACCATGGCCTTAGGGGTCCTGGGGTAGGGCCCCAACCAGGTTCACCCCATGGCTAGCCCTACCCAAGCTCGACCTTTTGCTAGGCCTATCTACATCCAAATACCTATAGAAATGTATACAATAATATTTTTGGTATATAAAAGTTATAATTATTATTGACCATTAGATGTGAAATTTAGTGGTTAGAGATGTGTCATTGATTGAGCAAAAAGCCCAAATAATTTTTTTTTAATATTCTAACGCACTTCAACCTGTCAAATAACACATCCAATGGTTAAAAATATATGTGGCCTCCTTCTACTAAAAGTAAATAATCTTATAGTATGCAATTCCCGTACCTAAAAACAAGTGTAACTAACGGTTCGAATATCCCGTACCTAAAAACAAGTGTAACTAACGGTTCGAATATTTTTTTAATATAATTATTATTTTTATTTGTTATTTTTTATTTTTTATTTTTTATTTTTTATTTTTTATTTTTTATTTTTTATTTTTTATTTTTTATTTTTTATTTTTTATTTTTTATTTTTTATTTTTTATTTTTTATTTTTTATTTTTTATTTTTTATTTTTTATTTTTTATTTTTTATTTTTTTTCATATTCATGATCTCCATGATAAAGATTATATATTATCTAAAAATTAGGATCAAATTATATTTAAAATATATATATTTATTACCAATCCCGCATTTGTACAATACGCGGCCTGGCCGCATCCAAACATTATTGTGGGAGAGACGTACCCTGTAAGTATTGCCTCTTGGAAAATGTTAGCTGACAATTTGGAACGCAGGACGGCAACAATCCCAGGTGTTAAAGACATACCCAAATCGACCTGCATTACCAATCAGTCAAACACCTATGTGCCTTTATGCTACAATCGTCCTACTCTCCTTTTGATATTTATTTTTTTTGGGTAATTCAGCGAAGAAAATATGCTTCTACCAGTTCTTTTTTTTAATATTAATCAAGTATATTTTTTTGGTATTTTATACTATGATACCATTTATTATTTGTACAATGAGGTTATAATCATTTTTAACCATTGAATGTGAAATCTAATAGATTAAAGTGTGTCACAATATTGGCAACATTTTATTTTAGACTTTGTGCCCAATCAATAATATATCCTCAACCACATAATTTTACATCTAGTAGTCAATAATTATTAAGACCTTGTATCACAAGTAAATAGTCTCATTCAGTGTTTAAAAAAACGCCGAGTCGAACCGGACGCGCCCGGTTCGACTCGGGAATCGCCATGGACGGATCGAATCAGCGAAAAAAACGGGAATCGTCCGGTTCTAGAGAGAACCAGACGATTCTGTACAGTGACTCGCCGATTCACTGTACGGAATCGGCGAGTCCGAACAGTGAATCGGCGAGTCCCGTACGGATTTTTTTTATTTTTATTTTATTTTATTTTTATTTTTTTTTTTTATTTTATTTTATTTTATTTTTTTTTTTTTGTAATCCATGATAGATTTTTTGTAATACTTGATTGGTTTTTTATT